TCAGTTTCTATGTCATCGTCTCTGGCGCGATGCAGGGCGGCCACGCGAGCGGGAGCATGTGGGCCGTGGCCATAACCCCCCCTGATGCGGGACGTGCGCAAGAGGCTGCGCGAACATCTTGGGTCGGAGGGGGGAGTCTGCGAAGATGGCGCGGGGAGTGGCGGCGCAAGAGGTCAACGCCTTCTCCTCTGGAAGCTGTCACGCTGCACGGTTGATGGTGGGTCCCGCTGTAAGGGCCACCAAGTGCAGAATCATTCCAGTGGTTGAGCCAGCCAGCGTCAGAAGTTCTGCAGGCGCGAGTCCGTCGAGCACTCGTGTAATTCGCCTTCACGTGGCAAGACGTCCCAGTGGGGGATGCAGCGGAGTACCTAGGGGTGTGGATCGGCCTGGCAGCTCCGAGAGACAAGATGTGGCGCAGTGCGTTTCGAAGGTGGGTCGCTGTTTTCAGAGACAGAGCCGCGACGAAGGCCCCCCCCTCCATAGGCGCCACGTCATGCAATTCCTCAGCCGTCTCGAAGTTAGCGCATCCAGCCCAGCTGTCCCCCATGCCCCATGCTGTTCTACAGTAAGAGTTTTGGGCGTTCAATTCGGTCCTCCCCCCCCCCACCTTTTCGGCCCCTTCCAGCCAGCTTCTTCCCACCGACAGTGGTCGAGCATCCGCCTGCAGTCTACGCGGGCGCAAGCCCTGCCAGCGCCCATGGGAATTGGCAACCTGTTTTTCTTCGGCCCCAGAGGGTGGCTCTCGCCCGTCTCCCCATGGCCCAGCGGCTGCGACAGAAGTGGTTACCTGCGCATTGGCTCGGGCCTCCGCGTGTCGGGGCACTCCAGAAATCTCAGCAGGGATTCCCGCTCTGCTTGAGATCCAGCAGCCATGCGTCGAACGTGACCCAAGCTCTCGGAGGGGCACAGCAGGGGAACCCGCGCCCCCCCCCCCTTCCCGCGCAAAGGGTGATCTCGCGGTCCGTCGAACGGTCCCTTTTCTCGGAGAATTGAGGCGGCGCGATTTTAAACATGTTGGATAAGTAGGCCACGCGGCCCCCGCCGCACCAGAATGCCCGCAAGTTGGCGACCCAACGTTGGCCCAGACTGCGCGGCGTTTTGTCCTATATGCTCCCTTCTTGGCAGATTTCCACGATCGAGACTCTGGCGGGGGGCTCGACGACGGAACGGGGGATGATCCAGAAGAGTATGCCATGTCAGTTCGGTTGCGGGGCATGCCATGGCGCTCGGTCTCACTACCTGCGCTGCGAGCCTCCGGCGTGCGATTCAGGAAATGTGGGCCCCTGCGCAACCGATCGAGCAGCTATTGGATCGTCGCCTTGCCCCAGCCACAGAGATGCCCGATGAAGAGATGGCCCTTGCAGTCCAGATGGCGGGCATCGCGTTCTACATCTTCAACCGCGCCCGAGGACCGACCCGAACTGCCGCTCGTTCTCTCTGCGCCAGGGCAGCGATATCACAGTCATTGCAGCAGTTCAGCGAGCAGCAAGGTGACTTCTGGACCCGCCCCCGCAGCTACGCGCGAGGAGGAAGAGGGAGAATAGAGAGAGAGAGAGAGAGAGAGAGAGAGAGAGAGAGAGAGAGAGAGAGAGGAGGGGGAGGGGGAGGAGGAGGAGAAGGAGGAGGAGGAGGAAGAGGAGGAGGAGGAGGAGGAGGAGGAGGTGGAGGAGGAGGAGGAGGAGGAGGAGGGGAGGTGCACAGATCGGCGCGACAGTCAACGCGGTCGCCGCCCCGCGCTTTCTTCGTCCCCCGCCCGCCGGAAGAAGGCCCAAACAGCCCCCCGAAACCCCGCGCGTCCGCGGGTCGATTTTTTCCGTGGTCCGCGCGCAGTGCGGCATGCGCGTCGAGAAGGAATGCATCGCTTCATGTTGAGGCCCAGAGAGCGCGTGAAACACTTTTTGTCCGGGCCAGTTTTCTGGCGACCCGCCCGTTCGCGGGCCACCGTTCGCGGCGCGCGCGCCCCGCGGGGAACGCATTCGGCGGAAGTGCGGCGCTTGGCGCCTGGGCCCGGAATTAGTGCAAGCGCGACAACTGGACCCCTTTTGTGGCGCGCGCCGCGCGGGAAATCATACTGCTCGAGATTGCGTCGCCTCGCGATGAGGCCCATGATGCAAGAGAAACCGCTGAGTTTTCTGGTGACCTTCTCGCATGCGGGCCGCCTCTGGCGGCGCGCGGGGAACGCGTCGCGCGCGGGCGCGCGACTTCGCGACGTGGCCCAGCATGAATCTTAGACATTGAGCTTCTCGCGGCCAGTTTTCTGGCGACATCCAGCGACCCGCCCGCCCGTGGATCACTGCGCGCGGCGCGCGCGCCGCGCGGGAGACGCGCTGGGCGGGAATGCGCCGCCCCGCGTTCAGGCCCAGCATGCAAGCGAGACGATTGGCTATTCTCGACAAGTTGCTTGGTGACCCACCCATTCGCGGGCCGCCTTCTGCGGCGCGCTCGCCGCGCGGGCAACGCAGCGAGCTGGGATGCGCCACCTATTCTCGAGGCCACAAATGCAAGGGAAAAGGGCTCGCATTCCCCGGGCCGTTCCCCGGCGGCCAACCCTGCCGCGGGCCGCCGCGCGCGGCGCGCGCGCAGCGCGGAGAACGCGCGGAGTCTAAATGCGCGACCTCTCGCGGAGGCAACAAAAGCAAGTGCAACGTTTTCTTTTTCTCTGTTGACCAATATTCCGGCGGCCCGCCTGTCCAAGGCTCGCCTTCTTCAACTTTGCCGGCGCGTGCGCCCCGTGAGAAGCGCGCGGGTCGGGGGCGCGCCGCCTCGCGATGGGGCCCAGAACGCGCGCGTGACAGTTGGTTTTTCTCGGACAGTTCTGGCGACCCGCCCGTCAGTGGGCCACCTTTCTCTCGCGGTGCGCATCTCCTCTTGTTATAGGGCCCAGGGCGCCAGCGACGCAGGTGCTTCGGTGTTTCCGCCCCGCCCCGTTCCCTGGTGGCCCGCGCGCGCGGGCCACTTGTCGTCGCGCGCGCGCGCCGCGCAGAAAGGCGCGGCGAGCGGGAGCGCTCCGCCTCGCGTTAGGGCCCACGCTACAAGAGCATGCAAGCGACTTTTTTCCTCAACCAATTCTCTGGCGACCCGCCCGTCCGCGGGTCAGCGGGCGCGCGCGCGCCGCGCGGGAAACGCATGGGGCTGGGCTGCATTGCCTCGCGTGGAGGCCCTGAATGCAAGCGGCGGAGCTGGATGTTCTCAGGTAGCCATCGGGCGAGCCGCCCGGCCGCGGGCCACATGCTACGCGCGCGCCGCGTGGGGCGCGCGTTGAGCGGGAGTGCATCGCCTTGTGTTGAGGCTCAGATTGCAAGGGGCACTAATCGTTTGTCTCCACCAGTTCTCTGGCGACCCACCCGCCCGCATGCGCTCGTGCTTGCGCCCCGCGGGAAACGCGGCGAGCGGGGGTCCGCTGCCTCGCGCTGCGTCCCAGAATGCATGTGGAAAGATTGGTTATTCTCAACCTTTTCTCCGGTGACCTCGACTCCACGCCACTTGCGGCGCGGGGGCCGAACTGGAGACGCAGTCGCGGGGCGCGCGTTGCCCGACGCTGGCGCCTCGCGAACCAACTTGTCTTTTTTCGATTAGTCTCCCGGTGGCCCGCGCGTCGGCGAGTCGCTTGTTGCGCGCGCGCCGCGCGGCGATCTCAGAGGGCGGGGGCGCGTCGCCTCGCGCTGAGGCCCAGATGGCAAGTGAAGCAGTCGGTCTTCCTCCGCCAGTTGTCCGGCGACCCCCCCGCCCGCGGGCCAGCGGTTCCCCCGCGGGGCACTTGTCGCGCGCGCGCCGCGCGGGGAACGCGGCGAGCGCGGCTGCGTCGCCTCGCGCTGCGACCCGCGATGCAAGCGAAACAGCTGTTTTTCATTCGACCAGTTCCTCTAGCGACCCGCTCGTCCGCGGGCCACTTGTTCTGCGCGCGCCGCGCGGGGGGCGCGCTGAGCGGGGGCGCGCCGCCCCGCGTTGAGTCCCGGAACGCGGGTGGAGCGCGCGGTTCTTGCCGCCCCGTCCCCCGGCGGCCCGCCCGCCCGCGGGCCGCGCGCTGCGCGCGCGCCGTGCGGGGCGAGCGTTGAATTGGAGCGCGTCGCCTCGCATCGAAGCCCAGGCGGCAAGTGCAACATCTGGTTGTCTCGGAGTTGCCCGGTGACCCGCCCGCGCGCGGGCCACTCGTTGCGCGCGCGCCGTGCGGCGCGCGTCGAGCAGGAGTGGGGTGCGTCGCCGCGCGCTGCGGACCACAACGCAAGTTAAACATGTTTTTCTCAGCCATTTTTTTGATGGCCCATCTTCCCGCGGGCCGCCCGTCGCGCGCGCGCCGCGCGGGAAACGCATTGGGCGGAGGTGCGTCGCCTCATGTTGAGGCCTGGAACGCACGTGAACCGATGCGTTTTCTCGGCCAGTTCTTTGGCGGCGCGCCCGCCCGCGGGTCGCTCGCCCCGCTCGCGGCGCGCGGGAAAAGCAGCGGGCGGGGTTCGTCGCCTTGCGCTGCGGCCCAGGATGCGGGTGAAACGATAGGCGTTTCTCAACAAGTCTTCTCGTGACCCACTCGTTCGCGTGTCACTTGTTGAGCGCTCTCCGCGCGGGGCGCGTTATTAAAGGTGGGAATGCGTCGCCTCGCGTGGGTGCTCAGAATGCAAATGAAACCTATCGTTTGTGTTCAACCTGTCTCCGATGACCCGCCCGCCCGCGGGCAACTCGTTGCGCGCGCGCCGCGCGGAAGCGGAATTGGGCGGGAATGCGTCGCCCCGCGTTGAGACCGACCCATGCTGCAACTAAAACAATTCTTCCCAAAGTCGCGTTTTTTTTCGGTGGGCAGCCCGTCCGCGGGCTGCCCGCTGCCAGTCGCGCGCGCGCGCTGCGCGGGAAAAGTATGCATCGATGGGGGTATGCGTCGCATCGTGCTGAGGCCCAAGCTGCAAGTAAAACGCAGGCTTCCCCCCCGCCAGTTTTCCGGTGAGAAATCGCCCGCGGGCCAATAGTCGCGCGCGCGCCGAGCGGGGGGCCCGTCGAATGGGAATGCGTCGTGTCGCGTGGCTGCCCAGGATGTCATTGGCGCGAATGGTTTTCTCGGCGATTTTTCGGGTGGCCCACCCGTCCGCGGGTCACTTGCGGCGCGCGCGCCGCGCGGGGGGGCGCGTTGAGTGGGAGTGCGTCGCCTCGCGCCGCTGCCTAGCGCGCAGTGAAAATGTCTTCGCAATCAATGAATTTCTCCGTTGGCCCGCGCCCGTCCGCGGGCCATTTCTTTTTCGCGCGCCGCGCGGGGGGCGCGTCGGGAGGGGAGCGCGTTGCCTCTCATTGGCGCCCAGGACGCAAGCGGAACAATGGGTTTCTTGTCCAACTCATTCTTCTCGCGGCCCGCCCGCCCGCGACTCACTTGTCGCGCGCGCCGGCGGGGAACGCATTGGGCGGGGGCGAATCGCCCCATGCTGGCGGCCAGAATACTTGTTACAAGTGACAGCAGCATTTTTTCTGTGCCAGTTTTCCGGTGATCCACCCGTCCGCGTCTCGTTCTGCGAGCGCGCGCGTGCCTCGCGGGAAACGCGCCAGGGGGCAATGCGTCGCCTCGCGTTGAGGCCCAGGATGCAAGTGATATTGCTTGCTTTGCTCAGCTAGTGTTTTTTGGCCCACCCGTCCGCGGGCCACCCGTTGCTCGCGCGCCACGCGGGGGGCGAATCGAGCGGGGCTGCGCGTCTTCACGTGGGGGCCCAGGTGAAACAATTGTTTTTTGTCTCAGCCAGTTTTCTGGCGACCCACCCGTCGCTCGATAATTCGCAGCGCGCGAGCCGCGCGGGAAATGCGCCGAGTGGGATTGCGTCGCCCCGCGCGGGGGCCCAGGATGCATGTGAAACGGCGCGTTTGTCCCAGCAAGTTTTCTGGCGACGCGCCCGTCCGCAGGCCGCTCGGCGCGCGCGCGCGCGCGCGCCGCGCGGGGGGCGCATTGGCTGGGGATGCGTCGCTCTATGTCGAGGCCCAGGATGCAGGTGACACCATTGTTTTTCTCCGCTGGTTTTCCTCTGGCCCGCCGGGTCGCCATTGGTTCTGCGCGCGCCGTGCGTGGAACGAATTGAATGGGAATGCATCGCCTCGCGTTGCGGCCCAGGATGCAAGTGAATGAACTTGTTGCTCTCAGCTAGTTTTCCGGTGGCCCGCCCGCCCGTGGACTACTCGACCCGAGCGCGTCTCACGGGGGAACATATGCCGCGAAGGTTTCGCCGCCCGCCGCCAGCCCCCTCTCTCGGACAACGGGGCATGCGACAGCTATGTTGCGAGGCCTGGGCGCCGTCGCGAAGCAGCGTCGGGATCTTGAACGGGGGCCACTTGGGCTCGGGCCCCGCATCTCGGGTCACTTTGGGAGCAGTCTTCGGCCCTTTTTGGACCGTCTTGGGGGTCTCTTGAGCCGTCCTGGGGCTTTCGGGAGCCGCTTGGGCCGTCTTGGGGCGGTTTTGCGGGGCATGTTGGGCCGTCTTGGAGCGTCGGAAGCCCGAAAAGTCGAGCGCGCCAAAATCCATCAGCAACTGCAGTAACATCGCAGATGTTGGCCTCTTGGGACCCTCTTGGGGGTGTTTTGTGAGCGCTTTGGGGGCCTTTGGGGGGGCCTCTTGGGCCGTCATGGGGCCATTCTGGGCGCCTTGGAGCCCTTTTGGGCCGTCTCGGAGGCCTCTTGCGTCGTCTTGGGGGCCTCTGATGAAGGACTGTGGCTTCGAAAACGCGAATGTTGTATACTTTCTACACGGGTTAATGATATCGGGGGCGCAACGAACGCATAGTGTACCAGGGGCCGCGGCTTCGGGAACGCAGATATTCCATAATTTACGAGACAGCATTGCCCCGGATACGCGAACATTGTGTACACGGGGGTCTCGGGAGTTGTGAAAATCCACCCACGCAAAGGTAACGGGAACTCTTCTTGGGCACCCTCGCGCGGATTCCAGCCGTTCAAAGTAGCAAGCAGAACGCCGAAGTGTAATATCGGGGACTGGGAAAGGGAGCAGGTCTAATCCCCAGAGCCCGTTGGCGCCGCAAGCGGGCCAGCGGATTGAGTTGGAATGCGTCGCATCATTTGGGGGCCAAGAGTGCAAGTGAGACAACTGTTTTTTCTCAATCGGCCTTCTGGTGGCGCACCCGTCCGTGGGTCCTTTTGTGCGCGCGCCGCACAGGAAACGTATTGAGTGGGAGTGCGTCGCCTCATGCTGCGGCCCAGGCTAGCGAAACACACGTTTTTTCTCCACACGCTTGCTGTGTTGACCCACCTGTCCGTGGGTCACTTGTTGTACGGGCCGTCCGGAAAACAAAAAAAAACAGAGTGGGAAAAAGTCGCCTCGTGCTGCGGCCCAGAATTCAAGTGCCGGTGTCGGTTTTTCTCAGCTAATTCTTTGGTGACCCATCCGTCCGCGCGTCACTTGTTGCGCGAGCGCTGTGCGGGAATCGCATCAAGAGGGAATGCGCCGCCTCATGCTGCGCCCAGAATCCAAGTGTCACTGTCGGTTTTTCTCAGCTAACTCTCTGGTGGCCCATCCGTCCGTGCGTTATTTGTTGTGCTCGCGCCGTACGAGAATCGCATCAAACGGGAATGCTTCATGCTCAGGCCCACAACGCAAGTGACACAGCTTGTTTTTTTCAATCGGTGTTCTGGTGGCCCATCCGTCCGCGGGCTACCTGTTGTGCGCGCGCCGCGCAGGAAGCGTATTGAGGGGGCCTGCATCGCCTGATGATGCAGCCCAGAATGCAAGTGAAACAGTTTGCTTGTCTTATCTGGTTTTTCGGTGACCCATCCGTCCGTGCGTCACTTGTTACGCGCGTGTCGTACGGGAAATGTATTTACAGGGATTGCATCGCCTCGTGTGGAGGCCAAGAATACAAGTGACGCAAATTGGTTTCCTCAACCGGTTTCCTTTTGACCCACGCGTCCGTGAATCACTTGTTGTGCGCCTGCCGTGCGGGGAAAAGTATTCAGAGGGAATGCGTCGATTCATGACGAAATCCAGAATGCGAGTGACACAGTTGTTTTTTTCTCAACCAGTTTCTTGGTGGCCCACCCCCCTCCGTGGGGTTATTTGGTGTGCGTGCGCCGCAGGGTCAACGCATTTCCAGATGATGCGGCCCAGAATGCATGTGAAACGAGTGGTTTTTCTCACCCAGATTTCTGGTGACCCACCCGTCTGTGGATCACGCGTTGTGCGCGCCGCACGGGAAATTTATCGAGTGGAAATGCACAGCCTTATGTTGAGGCTCAGAATGCAAGTGAAACGTTTGTTTTCTCTAAACAAGTTTTCTGGTGACCCACCCGTCCGTGTGTCACTTGTTGTGCGCACGCCGTACGGGAAACGTATTGAATGGGAACGCGTCGCCCCATGCGCAGGCCAAAATGCAAGCGACGTCTTCTGGTGACCCAGCCGTCCGCGGGTCACTTCTTGTGCGCGCGCCGCATGGGAAACGTATTGAGTGGTTTGCATCGCTTCATGTTGAGGCCCAGATTGCACTGGAAATGATTCGTTTTTCTCAGCTAGTTTTCTGATGACCCACCCGTCCGTGGGTCACTTGTTGTGCGCGGTCCGCATTGGAACCGTATTGAGTGGGAATGCATGGTTTCATGTCGAGCCCAGAGTGCAAGTGAAACAATGTGTTTTTCTCAGCCAGTTTTCTGGTGGGTCCCTTGTTGTGCGCGCGCCGTGCGGGAAACGTATTGAGTGGGCATGCCGGCTCACTGGAAGCGAGCCGCCATGCCCATTCGTCGGCGGCGGACCTTCGCAGCCCACCCCCTCCGTGGGGCATCCGCAGCGGCTTGCGTTGCGTTGTCGTCGTCGTCGTCGTCGTCGTCGTCGTCGTCGTCGTTCGGTGTAGTTGTCGTCGTCGTTTACCGCGGGCACCCGCAGTTATTCGTTTTGGAGGAACGGGGCATGGCGTGGAAGCGATGTCAGGGAATCGTCCGGGCCCGCCCCCGCGCGCAGTTTTATCGGACCCTCCTATCCTTGGCCAGGATGCGTCGGGAATCTCCGGTGACGTTTTTTTGCTTCAGTCACCCACCCCGTCGCAGACCGCCTCGCGCTCGGGCAATGCGCCCAAATCAGCGGGCCGTCCTATTTTCCCCAAACAGAGCTTGCCTCAGTAGGGGTCCTAGCGGATTCGTATGGTTAGGTGAGGTGTGTCACCGATTTCCGCGGGCCGCCCGGGTGCCCTGGTGCCCGCGTGCCTGGGTGCTTGGGTGCCCAGGTGCCCGGGTACCCGGGTGCCTTATAGCCCTGTAGTAGCTCTTATAGTCCTATAGTTCTATCCCTGTAGCCCTATAGCTCTATAGCTCTATAGCCTTATAGTCCTATAGCCCTATAGCCCTAAAGCCCAACAGCCCTACAGCCCTATAACCCTATAGTCTTATAGCTCCATAGCCCTAGAGCCCTAGAGCCCTATAGCGCTACAGCCCTATAGCCCTATAGCCCTATAGCCCTGTAGCCCTATAGCCCAATATGCCTATAGCATTGCCCTATAGCCATATATCCCTATAGCTCTTTAGCCCTATAGCCTTATAGCCTTATAGCCCTATAGCCCTATAGCCCTACAGCTCTATGTGCTCATAGCCCCATAGCCCCATAGCCCTATATCCCTACAGCCTATAGCCCTATGGTGATATAGCCCTGTAGTTCCATAGCCCTATAGACTCATAGCCCTATGGCCTTGTAGCCCTATGGCCCCATAGCCCCAGAGCCCCAGAGCCCCATAGCCCTGTAGCCCTACAGCCCTATAGCCCTATAGCCCCTATAGCCCTATGGCCCTATAGCCCTATAGATCCAGAGCCCTATAGCCCCATCGCCCTATAGCCCAATAGCCCCATAGCCCTATAGCCTTATAGCCTTATAGCCCTATAGCCCTATAGCCCTACAGCTCTATGTGCTCATAGCCCCATAGCCCCATAGCCCTATATCCCTACAGCCTATAGCCCTATGGTGATATAGCCCTGTAGTTCCATAGCCCTATAGACTCATAGCCCTATGGCCTTGTAGCCCTATGGCCCCATAGCCCCAGAGCCCCATAGCCCTGTAGCCCTACAGCCCTATAGCCCTATAGCCCCTATAGCCCTATGGCCCTATAGCCCTATAGATCCAGAGCCCTATAGCCCCATCGCCCTATAGCCCAATAGCCCCATAGCCCTATAGCCCTAAAAAGACTTTGATTGGGTTTTTCTCCGGTATCGCTTGATTTACCCAAGAGGTCCTTCTGTGTATTCTAATCGGGCTGGTTTCGAAAATGAAGTTTTCTTGGGGGGCGACCTTTTCTGGGGAACCGGGGTGGTTCTGAAGGATCGCCCCCTTATCGTTTCCAGTTCTCTCGTCCTCCTCGTCCTTCTCTTCGTTTATCATCCTCGTCTCCCCCTCCTTCCTCCACAGCATCATTGTTTTGCTGATTTCTTCTTCTTTTTTTTTTTCTCTCTCTCTCTCTCTCTATCCCCCGTATTCCCCTTCTCTCTCTGTCTCTCGCTCTCTCTGTCTTCCTCTCTCCCTCTCTCTCCTGGAGCAGTGCCGTCTCATGAGGCGGGCCCATCTGCTCCCGCCGCGGGAGATCCTCGCGACCACCGCGCTGCCCGACTTTCTCCCCTGCGACGGAGCCTTCGAGAAAACATGGCGCCGCCCTGGGAGGCCTACAGGAGGCTGGCCCGAAAGGATGGAACGGAAAAGGAGGGCGACGGCAAGGATGATGCGATGATGATGAGGGCGACGGCAAGTACAATGCTTAGCTATGCGTTCGCTTTGGGGTTTCGTTCGTGATTTAATCGCCGGTAGAGTGCCGGCTGGCATCCCCATATATGCCCCACGCAATGTGCAAGCGACGGAGATGTTTGGCAATACGCCATTTTTCCATGTAGTTGATTCTATCCTTGGGTATCACAGGCGAGACGTATGAGCTCAAAGCCGCTGCGAAATAAATGGCATGATAATGATGATGGTGTTGAGGAGGAGGAAGACCAATGTAAACCCAAGGCTCATAAAGGATGTTGGAATACACCCTCCCTCCAAGCTCTCCTGTTCATAGGCCCCTACACGGATTCGTTTCCATTGAAGTGCCCCGTTGGGAGACAACCGTTTGAAGATCCAGAGGCGCACCAAAACACCATTCTCGGGATCTCAACGCCGCGATTTGATTTGGTCGTTCCGTTTTGACGACCCTGAATCGTGCCAGAACACCTTTCCCGGTTAATCAATTCAACACCGCGGCCCCACGTAGCTGTTGCGCCGTGACAACCCTCGATCGCTCCAAAACGCCGTTCCTTGTACGTTAGCCATGGGATGCCGCGAAGCTTTTGCAATGTTTGAAATGAATGCGCGCGGCGCTGAGACGAGAGCCACAGGTTGAAAACGATCCGCCCTCGGTCCGCGAAGCTCTTACACGTGTGTAAGACGATTGTGCGCGGCGTCAAGGCGAGAACAACATCTTGAAAACGAGCCACCATCAATCCGCTTTTTTACCTAACAGCTTTTGCTGATAGGTTTCTAGTGGACTCAAAAGAGAGCATCTGATGACTCCACAGGGGGGTCTGGGCGGGTGCCGGGGAAAAGAACCGGGAACAGAGCCGGGCTCGTTTTAAACCAACAGTCACACACTTCGTGCTCTTCGACCTCCCAGAACTCCATTCCCGGGCCACATTTTGAATAACCGGAGCCAACAGTCACACACTTCGTGCTCTTCGACTTCCCAGAACTCCATTCCCGGGCCACATTTTGGATGCCCGGAGCCAACTGTAGGCCACTTCGTGCTCTTCGATTTCCCAGAACTCCATTCCCGGGCCACATTTTGGATGCCCGGAGCCAACTGTAGGCCACTTCGTGCTCTTCGAGTTCCCAGAACTCCATTCCTGGGCATGATTTTGAATGCCCGGAGCCAACTGTAGGCCACTTCGTGTTCTTCGAGTTCCCAGAACTCCATTCCCGGGCCACATTTTGAATGCTGAGGCAGGCTGAGGCTGAGGCTGAGGCTGCAGGCTGAGGCTGAGGCAGGCTGAGGCTGAGGCCGAGGCTGAAGGCAGACTGAGGCTGAGGCTGAAGCAGGCTGAGGCTGAGGCTGAGGCAGGCTGAGGCTGAGGCTGAGGCAGGCTGAGGCAGGCTGAGGCTGAGGCTGAGGCTGAGGCTGATGCTGCTGAGGCTGAGGCTGAAGGCAGGCTGAGGCTGAGGCTGAGGCTGAGGCTGAGGCTGAGGCAGGCTGAGGCTGAGGCTGAGGCAGGCTGAGGCTGAGGCTGCGACTGTGACTGCCGTTGCCACTGCGACTGTCATCGCGAATGCGACTACGACTGCGAGAACAGCAGAATTCTACAACTGGATTCTCATTTGAATCTTAAGGGGAATGCTTCCAGATATGCTCCTACGCATCGCTGTTAGGTTGCTTTGCCGGGATAATTGTAGAAAAGAGATGTGTGCGCGGCGCTAAAGCGGGAACCTAACTTTGAAAGTGACCGCCCTCAATCCGATAAGCTCTTGCATGTTTATTTGACGAGTGTGCGCGGCGCTGCGGCAAGAGCTACATTTTGACAACGACCCGCTTTCAATCCGTTGAGATTTTGCCATTTTTTGGAACGAGCGCGCGCGGCGCTAAGGCGGCGACCCGCCCTCAGTTGTTAAACTTCAGGGCCACTATTGTGAAGGCCTGACGGCTTGTGTCGCCGACCCAGACGGACGACGAAGACGATGACGACGACCACGACGACGACCACGACGACAAAACGACAACGGCGAGCTGATGACCTTGCCACAAGCTCGGGACATGGGGCGGACGGTGGGGGAGAAGGAGGAGGAGGAGGAGGTGGAGGAAGCGGAGGAGGAGGAGGAGGAGGAGGAGGAGGAGGAGGAGGAGGAGAGGAAGCGGAGGAGGAGGAGAAGGGGGAGGTGGAGGAAGCGGAGGAGGAGGAGGAGGAGGAGGAGGAGGCAGGAGGAGGAATGAGGAGGAGGAGGAGGAGGAGGAGGAGGAAGAGGAGGACGAGGAGGAGGAGGAGGAGAAGAGAAAAACATGGTGGAAAAAACAGCACCTTCTCTCTCTCTGTCTCTCGCCTCTCCCTTTTTAGTTTGGTCTTGAGCTGCGTTCGCTCGTAGTTGCGCGCTAGTGTGTCCTGTTCGGCTGGACCTCTTCATGCGATGCGAGGAGGAGGAGGAGGAGGAGGAGGAGGAGGAGGAGGAGGAGGAGGAGGAGGAGGAGAGCCGTGTGTCTCCTCGGGGGCGGGCTGTTGGGAGGCGACGGGGCTGGGGCCGGGGCCGCGGCCGGGGCCGCGGCCGGGACCGTGACCGGGGCCAGAGCCGGGGCCGAGGCCGGGGCCTGGGGGCTAAGGCCGTGGCCAACGGGACTGGGGGGCCAGGGCTGCGGCTGGGGCCGGGGCCGGGGCGGGGGGGCAGGGCCAGGGCCAGGCCGGGCCAGGAACGGGGCTGGAGCGGGGGCCAAGACGGGAGCAGGGGTCCTGAGGGAAACCACCGCTTTTGCCGCGTCCTGCTGCTTTTCCTGGCCGCCGAACCGCCCAAGGGGGAGTCGTATCTGCCCCAGGACCCCACCCGGGACCGCCGCCCCGCCGCCCAGGACCCCGCCCCCGGGACCCCCCCCCCTGGCGGGGAAGGAATCAAAGGGAAGGAGCGTCCTTTCGACTCGACTGCAACGTTGCTCAAGTACGAGTCAAACGGAACAGCCTCTTCCACACGGCGACAGGGTCGGCGGAATCGTAAGGAAGTCTGAAGCGAAACGCCTGGCCCGTCCTTCCGACTGACTTCGGGGTGCGACGGTGAGAATCTTCTGATACGGAAAAGAAATGGGTGATCAGTATAAATTCCAAGGCTCATCAACGATGTTGGAATACACCCTCCCTCCAAGCTCCCTCCCCGCGTGTCCCTACAAGGGCTCATGTCCATTGAGGGAAGTTCCTCCATTGGGAGATAACCCTTTGAACATCCAGAAGCGCGCTCAAACACCATTCTCAGGACTTCAACGCCGCGCGTCAGGCCGACGGTTGCGTTTTGGCGACCCTAAGCCGCTCCAGGACACCATTCTTCTGACTTCAACACCCCAGTTCAACGTAATTTATTGCTTCCTGGCAATCTTCTGTCGTTCCAGAAAGCCACAGCTGGTACGGTAACCATGTGGACCCGTGAACATGTTGCAGGTGATTGAAAAGAGCGCGCGCGGCTCGAAGGCGTGAGCCGCATTTTGAAAGTAGAGCCGCCTTCAACCCGCAAAGCCCTCGCACATGTTTAAGACGATTGTGTGCGGCGTGAAGGCGAAAACCTCATTTTGAAAACAACCCGCACTCAACCCGCTAAACTCTTGCATGTTTGAAAGACGATTGTGCGCTGCGCTGAGGCGAGAGCCACATTTTGACAACGGCCCGCCCTCAATCCGTGTAGCTTTTGCAACTGTTTGAAACGAGCGCGTGCGGCGCCAAGGCGAGAGCTACATTTTTTTGGAAACCATCCGCCCTCCATCTGTGAAGCTGTCATCAGTAGCTAAAATTGAGGATCATAATTGGCAAGGAAGTCTTAGGCGAAACGCCTGACCCGCCCTTCCGACTGGCCTCAAGGGCTTATTTCCATTGAGGGAAATTCTCCCGTTGGGAGACAACCTTTTGAACATCCGAAAGAGTCAGAGTGCGTTCTGTGGTCGCTTGGGGGGGGGGTGAAACCGCACCCCTCCCCCCCCTCCCCTGGGGGGGGGGGTCGGGAGGGGGCTTTTGGGGTGGAGAGGAGCCCCCCCTGGTTTTGATCGACGGCGCCGAGTGTTTTGGGGGGGCCCCCCCCCGGTTCGAAACGTGCCGCCGAATGTTCCCCAGGCGAGTGCCCGTGAAACGCGTTCTCTCGAACATCCAGAGGCGCGCCCAAACACCATTCTCAGGACTCCAGCGCCGTGCGCCAGTCTGATTGTTGCGTCTTGGCGACCCTAAACCGCTCCAGGACACCATTCTTCTGACTTCAACACTGCGGCTTAACGTAATTGTTGCGCTCTGACAGTCTCCAACCGTTCCAGAAAACCACACCTGGTACGGTAATCATGGGACCCCGTGAACATGTTGCAGGTGATTGAAACGAATGTGCCCGGCGCCTGGGCGAGAGCCGCATTTTGAAAATAGACCCGCCCTCAACCCGCGAAGCTCTTGCAAATGTTTAAGACGATGGTGTGCAGCGCTGTAACCTCATTTTGAAAACGACCCGCACTCAACCCGCTAGATTCTTCCATGCTTGAACGGCGAGTGTGCGCGGCGCTTAGGCGAGAGCTACATTTTGGAAGCGACCCGCCCTCCATCTGTGAAGCTGTTGTCAGTGGTTAAAGCTCAGGATCAAAATTGGTAAGGAAGTCTTAGGCGAAACGCCTGACCCGCCCTTCCGACTGGCCTCTGGATGCGACGGGGAGGAGTTCTTGATAAGGAAAAGACATGGGGGACCAGTATAATTCCAAGGTTCATCAACGATGTTGGAATACACCCTCCCTCCAATCATAGGTCCCTACAGTTCCCCCCGCTGGGAGACAACCCTTTGAACATCCAGAAGCGTGCCAAACACCATTTTCAGGACTTGCCGCGCGTCAGTCTGACTGTTGCGTCTTGGCGATACTCAATCGTGCCAGAACACCATTCTTCTCACGTCAACATCGCGGCTCAACGTAATTGCTGCGCCCTGACAGTCCTCAACCGTTCCAGAAAACTTTTTTCTGGTACGTTAACTATGGGCAACCGTGAGCATGTTGCAGCTTATTGAAACGAATGCGCCCGGGGCCTAGGCGAGAGCCGCATTTTGAAAATAGAGCCGCCTTCAACCCGCGAAGCCATTGTAAATTCTTGAGACGAATGAGCGCGGCGGTAAGGCGAGAGCCACATTTTGTAATCGACCCACCCTCGATCCATGTGGCGCAATAATCGTTTTTGCCATCTAGGGTGTGCAATCTACGTTGGGCAGTCCACGTGGCGCAATATATGTGGAGCTCCTTATGTGGTGCAAGCTATGTGGGGCAATCTGTCTTGCAACCTATGTGGTGCAGTAACTTTTGAGCAACGTATGTTGTGCAATCTATGTGGTGCAGTCTATGTGGCGCGCATTCTATGTTTTGCGCGAATTATGTGGTGCAGTCTATATGGTGCATTTAATTTCTGCTCGCAGTGAGTTGTCCACTCCACTGCTCGCGCAAACATCCCACCCACCCACCCGCAACTTGGTTTGCAAAATCTCTTAAGACCGTGACGGTGAGTACCAAATGGCACTTGGCAACAACAGCGACGCCGACGACGACGACGACGACAACGACGACGACGACAACGACTACGACGACACCGACGACGTCTCCAACGACTTCGCCGACGCCGACAACGACGACGACGACACCGACGACGACGACGACGACGCCGACGCCGACGACGACGACGATGACAACGACGACGACGATGACGCCGACGACGACGATGACGACGACACCGACGACGACGACGACGTCAACGACGCGACGACGACGACGACGACGACGACGACGGCGGCGACGACGACGACGCCGACGTCGACGACGACGAAGACGACAACGACGCCGACGCCGACAACGACGACGAAGACGACGACGACGTCGCCAACGCAGACGACGAGGGAGGAGGAAGGACGACGACGGCGACAACGACGACAACGACGACAACGACGAGGCAGGAGGGAGGACGGCGACGACGCGAACGACGAAGAAGGAGGAAGGACGGCGACGCCGACGACGGCAACGACGAGGGAGGAGGGAAGACGACGACGACGACAACGACGACGACGACGACGACGGCGGCGACCAAATAGGAGGGACGACGACGAGACGCCGACGACGGACGACGACGACGACGAGAGAGGAGGAGGAAGGACGACCACGGCGACAACGACGACGGAAACGACCACGACGCCAAAGAGGACGACGACGACGACGAACACGAGGAAAGACAGAGAACGACGTAGGCGACGACGACGACGACGCGGGAGGAGGGAGGACGGCGACGACGACGACGACGACGACGATGACGCAAGAGCGCGCGCGCACGGTTTTGTTGAAAATCCGTGTTGCGAAACCTTTTATTTTTGTAGGTTTCTTGGACGCACGATTTTGAAATCCTTCCGAAACCGATGGGTTTTGAAGGTTTTCGGCTACGCGCGCGGCGACGCGCGCGTCTGCACATCGTCCTGCTTTTGCAGGGGATTCTCGCGACGGCACACGCGCAAGGGCGTTCGACAGATTTCGACATGCGCGCGCGAAGCCCGTTTGGTAGCATTTTGTGAAAAACTTGAAAACCTATGCTTTTCTAAGATTTCGCAAGAGCTTGCGCGGAAGCTTTTTTAGCAAATCAGGGTTGCGAAACTTGGTATGTTTGTATGTTTTTTGGAAGCTCGATTGCGACATCCTTCCGGAACCGAAGGTTTGTGAAGGATTTCGGCATGCGCGCGCGCGACGACGGGCGCGTGTGCACTTCGTCCCATTTGTTGCAAGGGATTCGCGAAAAATACTATGTTAGAACAACAAATGTGACCGCATAGTGTTCTTAAAAAATAAGAAATAATAATAATAAAGGATCCTCAAAGGGGGGGATACGGGTTGGCATTTGACATTGCGATTTACGTGGTAGATCCTATCCTGTTTTAGAAAGGAGAATCTACGTGGTGCGCATTCCGTATGTTGTGCAATCTATGTGGTGCGCAACTTGCGTGGAGCAATCTATGTGTAGCAATACGTCGGTGGCAGGATATGTCGTGCAATAAATGTTGTGCAACATACGCTGTGCAATCTACGTGGACAATCTATGCGGTAGAATATGTGGTCGAGCCGCCTACGTGGTGCAATGGAGTCTGTAAAATTAAATTCTGTGCGCGGTGAGTTGTCAACTCCACTGCTCGCGCAACCATCCCACCCACCCGCCCGCAACTTGGTTTGCACAACAATGCGGCGGCGATTGTCGTGAGTGCTTGGCGTGACCTGGTGAATTTCTGCGGCCGCGCTAGCCCGCGCGACCGACGCGGTCGCGGTGGTGCTGCTTGTTGCGCATTTCCCAGCGGGCGTTTCATTGCGAGTCGGCGATTTGGGCGGGCGTAGTATCATGGCAGCGTCGACAACGGTAGACAAGATGATGGTGGTAGAGATGCTTGTGACGATCATGACAACGACGACAGCAAGGCCAATGACGGCGCCGATGCTGATCACGCCGGCGACGATGAAGGTGTCTTCGCGTCGTCGGTGATGAAGGTTTTGGAAGGAGTTCGCCATGCGCGCGCGGCCGACGCGCGACAATGGCCTGCATGGTATTATTTGAGACGGATCGTGCCCCCCCCCGGCAGGCGCGCAATTGGCGTTTGAATAGTGCCGACATGCGGCGCGAGAGGCCCGTTTGGCCGAATGTAATCAACATATTTATAAACATTGATGGTTTGCTGAAGAATTTGCATACGTGTGGTTTTCTTACGAATCTGCAAGAACGCGAGCGCAGGCACATCTTTCCTGTGTAAAGCATTTGTTGCGAATCCATGTGTGTTATATGTGCTCGGGCACTCGATTTTGAAATCCTTGCGAAGCCTATGGTTATATATATATATATATATATATATGCACATAGATGTACACATTCACAATCAAAAAACAAAAAAATAAACAAACACGCAACAAAAACAAAAAACAAAAACAACGAATCCTGCATGCCCGCGCGACGACCCGTGTTCGTGCGTGCGCCCCTCGCCGCCCGAGGCTCCAGCCTGCCCCCGCCCGGGCCCTCGCCCACCTCGTCTTCCCCGACGCTCTCCCCATTTTCGCAGGCCTAGAGGTTGACACCAACACCAATATCGGCGGTGCTCCTCCACCGAGGAAAGAAGATCCCGATCTTGGCGATGGTGGTAATGTTCTGGCTTCAAGGTGACCGAAATATTACCACCAACACCGAAATCTAGGATCATCTCTCCCCTGTGGAGGCAGCCACCTGTCTTGGTGTTGGTGCCTATTTCCAGGCCTCCAACATTTCTGTTTCTCCCAAAGGTTGGGGGCCTGGCTCCCTGAACTGCCCCTGGCCACTAAAGGAGACATGGCCCATCGTTGGGCCCTGCTCCGTGGTGTGCTCTCCCGGCCCAAGCCCGGCCGGGTTCGGGGCCGTGTCCAGCTTTTCGCAGGGGGATGGGCCGCTTCAGTCCGAATGCCCGCTCTGGGCTAACACCGCTGCCTATTGGGATGCGGGGGCGGCCTCGATCGGTGGCCTCACAGTACCTGGTGCGCCCAGTCTCCTCCGCCTTCTCACCCGTCCGAGGCTCCACTTCCAATTTGCCCTCTGGCCTGTCTCGGCCTCGGCTTCGGCGTTGGCCGGTAGAGTCACGACGACATCATCTGTTGCGTGCGTTCCTCCTCCTCCCCCCTCTCCACCACCTCCTCCTCATCCTCCTGCGCCCACACCTCCACAACCTTCTCATCCTGAGCGCCTTCTCCCCATTTTGTCTCAACGTCCCCCTTCCTCGTCCTCTTCGTGTCCCTTCCCTGTCCCCCTTCCGCCCCCCTCCTCCCCCCCGCCTTCTGCTCTTCCTCCGACTCTTTATCTTCCTATTCCTCTTATTCCTCCTCCTCCTTTTTTTCCCCTTATAGATGATTCCTCGTGTCTCACTCCGAGGCCGGGCGACATTGCGGGCTGGGCATTGGAGGGCGGGTCGCTTTCAAGGTGTGGTTCGCGCGCCGCGCATCTTCTTCTCAATATCGGAGGGCACCTACTATACCCGTACACCGATCCTGGTCAGGTCGATCCGAGGCCCAAAATCGGTGTATATGCATCCTGCGCAAGACAGGAGGGCGTATACTCCGATCCTGGACCCAGGGTGATCCTGGCCAGGATCGGTGTTGGTGTATAGTTGGTGCCTTCCTACAATAGCGTCCATGAGGTCCACGGAGTGAGGGCGGGACCTCTTCCACTGGCGGCTCTCGCCTGAGCTCCGGGCACGATCGTCTCAAAGTCTGCAGGAGTCTCACGGTCACCGCCGGGTCTGTCACCACACGGTTTTGGGACACCCAATTGCAAGAGTCTCACGGATGGAGGGCGGCTCCTTTTCAGCATGTGGCTCTCGCTTTAGCGCCGCGCACAGTCGTCTTGAGATTCTACAACAAATTCACGGATTCTTTTGGCTAGCATTCCCAAGTGGTGTTATTGCGTGATGTCGGGATGTCGGGGCGCAACGGTGACGGTGGTTCGCGGCATTGAAGCCACAGGAATGGTGTTCTGGCACGGCTGAGGACCTTGGAGACGCAACAGTCTTGGTGATTCGCGGCGTTGAAGTCCCAGGCATGGTGCTTTCGCACAGTTCCGGATTTTCAAACGGTTGACTTTAAACGGTGTACTTCCCGCAGTGAAAATGAATTGTTTGAACGGGCTTATGATGGGGTTGGAGGGAGGGTTTATTGCAATATCTTGAATGGGCCTTGGGTTTACACTGGTCTCTCCTCCTCCTCCTCCTCCTCCTCCTCCTCCTCCTCCTCCTCCTCCTCCTCCTCCTCCTCCTCCTCCTGCCCCGCCTCCGCCTCTTTTGGACGAGCCCTCCCGGCGCAGGCGGGGCGGGGCTCCCGCGCCCCCCCCCGCGCGCGCGCGGGCGCCCCGCCGGGCAGGCCGCGGCGATGAGCCGCCTCGCCGCTGCGCGTGCCCTGCCTCGGCGGCGGCGACCGGCGCGCCGCCTCCGCGCCGCGGCCCTGCCGCGCACCCCCGCATGGCGTGCCGCCCGCCGCCGAGGAGCCGTGGCCGCCGCGCCGGGCGTGGCCGCACGCGGCGGCCTCGGCGCCGTGCGCCGCGGGCGCGGTGGCCGCGCGCGGCGGCGCCGTCGCCGGCGGAGCCGCCGGCGAGGCCGGCGCTCGCCGGCGGGGCCGCGGCGCGGCCGTGGGCGGGGTGGCCCGCGCCGCCGTCGCCGGCGGCGCGGGCCGCGGGCGGGGGCGCGTCGTGCAGCCCCGCTCCCTCCGCTCCTCCTCCTCCTCCTCCTCCTTCCTCCTCCTCCTTCTCCTCCTCCTCGTCCTCCTCCTCCTCCTCCTCCTCCTCCTCTCCTCCCTCCTCCTCCTCGTCTTCCTCCTCCTCCTCCTCCTCCTCCTCGTCTTCCTCCTCCCCCTCGTCTTCCTCCTCCCCCTCCTCCTCCTCCGCCATTCTTTTTCCTGGTGAATAACTCCTTCCTGTCGCGCCCCGAGGCTGGTAGAAGGGCGGGCCAGGCGTGTCGCCTGAGACTGTCTTACCATTTACGATCCTGACGCTTCACAGATGGCAACAGCGTCACAGACGTCAGCAGGTACCATTCATGATCCTGACACTTCCTCACCATTTAGAGGCAACAGTTTCACAGATGGAGGGCGGGTGGCTTTCGAAATGTGGCTCTCGCTTTAGCGCTGCGCGCACTCTCTTGAAAAGTGATGCTAGAGCTTCACGGATTGAGGGTGGTTGAGGGTGGTTCCTTTTCAACATGTGGCTCGCGCCTTAGCGCTGGACGCATTCGTTTGTAAAAGCGTGCAAGAGCTTAACGGATGGAGATACGGCCGTTTTCAACATGTCGTTATCGCCTGAGCGCCGCGCACATTCGTGTTCGATATATCAGGAGTTTCACGAAATCCCGTGGTCAACGTATCAGAAATTGCGTGTTCAGGGCTTTCAGGGCGCAACAGTTACGCTGATTCGCGGTGTTGAAGTCTCAGGAATTGCATTTTGGCAAGATTTGGGATTGCCAAGGCGCAACAGTCAGTTTGATTCGTTTCGCTGGGGTCCCTTGAATAGTGTTGTGGCACGCTTCCGGATCTTCAACTGGTTGTCTCTCAATGGCACTCTCTTCAATGAAAATGAATCCTTGCAGGGGCCTATGAGGAGGGAGCTTCGAGGGAGGGTCTCTTCCAACATCGTTGGTGGGTCTGTGTTTACACTGGTCCTCCTCCTCTTTCTCCTCCTCCGCCTCTGGTTCCTGCTCCTCCTCCTCCTCCTCCTCCTCCTCCTACTCCTCCTTTTCCTCCCTGTCCTCCTCCCCCTCCCCCGCCTCCTGCTCCCGCTCCTGGGCTCTTGGGCGGCGCGCTGGGCCCGGCCGCCGCTGAGGGCGGCGCGGCCGCCCGGACGCGGCGGCCGCCGGCCGCAGAGCAGCTTCTGCGGCACCTGCCCGCCGCGCCTCGGGCACAGGAGCCGAGGGAGGCACGGTCTGCTGCTCTCCGCCCGAGAAAAGACGCGGGTTCCGAAGCCCGGGGCGGCTTCCATCAGCTGCGCCTCGCCGAGAGCGTTCCAGGGGTGCCCAGGTCGGCCCAGACGGCCGCTGGAGGCCCCAGTCATGGCCAAAACCCAGTCGGATCAGCGCCACAGATTTCCCACAACTCCGTCTCTCGATCCCTTCTCCTTCCCCTCCGCTCTCGCGCGTATGCGGTTGTCGTAGTCGTAGTCGCAGTCGTCGTCGTAGTAGTAGTAGTAGTGGTAGTAGTAGTAGTAGTCGTAGTAGTAGTAGTAGTAGTAGTAGTAGTAGTAGTAGTAGTAGTAGTAGTCGTAGTAGTAGTAGTAGTAGTAGTAGTAGTAGTAGTAGTAGTAGTAGTAGTAGT